TTCAGAGAGGAAGGGAGAGGGAGAGAGAGAGAGAAACATCAATGATGAGAGAGAATCACTGATCGGCTGCCTCCTGCACACCCCCCACTGGGGGTCGAGCCTGCAACCCGGGCATGTACCCTGACTGAGAATCGACTTCCTGATTCATAGGTACACCAACCAGGCTAAATGTAACTTTTTTTCTGAATAGTTTCTATCCTCAGTTGATTCAACCCAGGGATATAGAGGGCTGACTGTAACAGAGTTGCAAAAAATTGGACCGGGGCCGGCCAGTGTGGCTCAGTGGTTGAGTGTCAACCCATGAACCAAAAGGTCACTGGCTGGATTCCTGGTCAGGGCACAAGCCCAGGTTTCAGGCTCAATCCCCAGTAGGTGGCGTGCAAGAGGCAGCCCATCGATGTTTCTATCTCTCCATACCTATCCCTTCCTCGCTAAAATCAATAAAAACATTTTTTTAAATTGGACCAGAGCTTAGAAGACCTAGATTCTGCCACTTGGGAACCATGCAGTCTGGGGAAGTCACTTCTCAGGTAAAAATGCAGACAGTCACAACAATTATGCCTCGTTGGGCTGCTGTGAGAATCAGATGAGACAATAGACTTGAAAGTGTCTTGTAAACTCTTGAGAGATTATTATTTCATGATTGGAGGAAGAGGAGACAGTACTTGGTGGCAGAGTTGTAAAAGTAGATGTCAAGGAAGGTGGTAGATGGGAAGGGAGAATGCAGCAAGTGCTTCTGGGAAGACTCAGCAGTCAGTGGTGACGGTGGCTGAGAGCTCCTGGATACGCCAGGCACTGCAGGCCTTGCACAAGATGTGCCCATCAAGGGGGTAGCAGCCCTGACATTCACCCTCAGAGGAGAGCAGCAACCCACACTCCTGTTAAGAAAGAAGCAACAGCTTTCCACCGGGCTAAGACCTCTGGATCCTACTATACCCAGCGAGCCCAGACCCCAAGAACTCCTTTTCCCCTGGTCCAGGCCCCCTCACCTCACACTTGTAACAGCCGATGTGAAAACTGCGATCCAGAGCAACAATTCGCACAGTCTCCTCCTGACCGGGCTCAGGCATGATGGCCCCACCACACACTGAACATCGTGGAGCAAACTTCCTGGGGTACAAGAGAGCCAAGGGGGTTGTCAAGCCCCAGGGTTGGAGAGACTAACAACAGAGCCCAGAGAAGGTGGGATGCAGGAGAGAAGAGGACAGGCCCGAGGTATGGTCTTGGATCTTAGGGAAGAAAGCAATGTTAACCAGAACAAGGCATGGCAAGGGTGGGAAACAGAAGGGGCTGGTACTGGGACGTGAAGAAATGAGAAAGATAGGAAAGGCAGACATCCTGAGACAAAGGTGGGGGGATCTAGCCTGACCTGTGGAAGTCCTCAATGCAGTGGATCTGGCTGGTGGCATCCACCGTGAACGGAATGCCATCAAGTCCACGGTGGCACACCACGCAGGTGAAGCAGCCAGGGTGGTAAGCCTTCCCCATAGCCCGAAGGATCCGGTCCAGGATGGGTTGAGAGCATTTGGAGCACTTCTCCAAGGTGGCCTGTTGGGAAGGAGGGAAGGTCGGGGTCTGCGGAGGACCAGGGCCGCCCTACAGGCATCCTGCCAGCCCACCCACCTGTTTAGCCCCCTGCATGTGATTTAGTGAAAGGTGGCTTTGAACAGATCTGAGTGCAAAACTCATCGCAACTTTTGGGACAAGTTAAGTAGCCTCTCTGAGCTTCAGTTCCCTTCAATATATGCCCTACAGTGTGCTGTGGTCAGCACACTCCCTTAACTCTAAAATAAATGCCTCACATTTGCAAGGGGCTTCTGTCCTTCCCCTTCAGCAGCCACTATTTAGCTGCCTAATTTCTCCCTTCTTGTCTATCAGTTTCAGTCCCCCGCCTGAGCCCTGTTCCTCGTGGACATTGGTTTCCACCTTGGATGGAAGCCCCCGGTCCCAACCACTCACCACATAGCAGCTCTCACAATACGCCCTCCGCTCCACGGCATAGAAATGCTGGCCCCGGAGCTGGGCACGGCAGGTAGAACACACAAAGCAGCCAACGTGGAAGACGCGGTCCAGGGCGACAACCCCGGCCCCATCCCCAACCACGTCTTCTCCGCAGCCCCCACATCGGCCTGGGGACAGGGAGGGACAGGGTCAACCGGCATGGGCCAGGAGGCCAGAGCTGGTGTCCCTCTGACTCTCCAGTCCCCCACCCTGTCCACCCACCCTGACTCAGCTCACCGAAGTACTCCCCGTTGGGCGGGTGGCTCATGTCATGCACCAGCTTCTTGGTCAGCCTCTCGAGCTCCTCCTCAGGAGGCTGGCTCAGGGGACCCTGGGAGTTGAGAATCAGGAGTGTGTGGCGCTACCTCTAGCTTTCAATGCTGTCAAAATACCTGTGGGTGACCAGGAAATGCCACCCAGAAAGCTCACTGGAGAACATCTCAGGGTCCGAGGGCATGACTTGAAAAGCTAGTGTGTGACTCCGGTCCCCTCCCTCCTACATTTCCTGACCTGCCCTAAACCCCTAGGGGGAGGCGGGGAGGTGCGGAGCTCTGACACTCCCCGTCCCTGACAACCAGGACTTAGAACACCACCCCCATCCGACCCAATCAGCGTCCAGTTGTCTGAGGACTTCAAATCCCATTCCCCTGGGCTTACCTGGTGCCCGTACCCACTTCCTCTTCCTCCTCCTAGAGGACTGGAGCTCCCAGCGACCTCCTCTTTACTCCCGAGCCCTGGCTCTCGGTGGCTCCTATAGCCAGCCCCCCAGACTTCACCTCGGCCTGGGAGAGAAAAGTGGGGGCCCAGCAGGGGCCCTGAGGCCTGAGAGGGTCCCCCCCTTGGAGGGCCACAGCCTCTCACTGGCTGTGCCACCTTCACTTGCACAGGAAAGGCAGGGCCAGCAGGAGTGCTGGCTGTGGCATAGGAGGCTGGAGTGGGGCCCCCATAGGGGGATGCTGGGAGCAGCGGGGAAGGAACACCCCCTCCATTCAGCTTCAGGGAGCCTGCTCCAGAGCGGTAGGCAGGGGGCTGAGGGGGCTCATAGACCTGGGGAGAAATGCAGACCAAAAGGAGTGAGCAGGCCGTTACAGGACACGCATCTGTGGAAACCCACCCCACCCACGTGTGTGTCACCCAGGGAAGGGCTGGTTTCTGACAAGGGCCCACCCCTGAGTGGCTGACAACCCACTACGCTCTGGTGGCCCAGTTCCTGGGCGGGTGTGTGCATCACTCACATAGAGGGCAGGAGGTGGGGGTGTGCTGGGCATACAGGGAAAACAGAGATTGGGGTGAGGGAAGGGGGACAAGGGAGAAGGGACAGAAGAGGAATGGGGGCTCACCTGCCGGTCAGGCCGTCGTGGGGCATGGCCTCGACCCCCATCCAGCTCGGCCAACATGTTAGTGAGGGAATCTATCTCAGCATCCAGACTTCCTGGGTGCAGCCGGCCCCGGTCTGGGGGGAGTCCCTGGGGATAGGGCAAAAGCAGGGAGAATGCACATCACATGGCCTCCCCTCCTGCCCAGGGCGCTATGCACCCCCCCCCATCTGGTTCTTACCTGCGAGCGCGGGGGTGCTCCACGGCACCCCACCCAGGCCGGCCCCCGATCCTCCAATCCCCCGGGGGCCTGGTAACACTGCTCAGCCGGGACGGGGCAAAAATTGACCCTGGGGTGGGGCTGGAGCGCTGGGATGAGTTAAAGCAGAGTGAAGACGGAGATGGGGAAGGGGCGAGGGTGACACTGGTGGAGGTGCCCTCTCGGTCCCTCTTCTCCTCCCACCCACCCACACCCGGGATCGGAGAGTGGGACCGGACGGCCGCCG